CACACACACACACACACACACACACACACACACACACACACACACTCACATACACACGCTCTCCAGGCTTTGCAGACTCAGGGTCCCAAACCAGAACCAGACGAGATCTTCTCTGCCCCACCCCTCCCCTGACATCAGCATTTGTCATCTCTGGCAGTTACCCCTTCCCCAAACCTCTGCCCTGCTGCCCTGGACCATCGCACTTACTTTAGATTCTCTTTCCCTCCTAATGCCCTTGACCTAAAGGGCCCTATCCCTGATTCTCTGACTGCTGGAGCGTTTCCCTTTTTTGGGGGTGGTATGCAGAGGTGATTGAGTGATTATTCTCATCCTTTGCTTCTTTGGAGCCAATTTAGCCAGGGAAAGCCCCGAGCGCCTTCCATTAGATTTCAAAGGAACAAAATCCTGCCAGTGGTTTGGGAGGGAAGGCCCTAGTCAACCGACTAGCCATCATGGAGCAGTGCCGGGCACTGGGGACGACGGTCCCGTCCACACTGGGACTTGGCTTTTGCTTTGGCCTTGTGGGTGGGGGAAGAGAGCAGTAATGGGCTAGTTGGTGGGTGGAGTGTAGACACCCTCAGGAGTGGCAGCCCCATCTATACCTGCTTGTCTGGTACCTGGCTTCCTACAAGTGTGGTACAGTGGAAAGAAAACAGAATGTGGAATCAGAGGACCCGAGTTCAAATCTTGACCTCTGTCAACTCACCTCCAATGATGTGGGGCAAGAAAGTTCCCCTCTCTGGGCCTCAGTTTCCTCATCTGTAAAATGAAAGGGGTTAGATGAGGTCCCAGCTCTAGATCCAAGTATGATCCTAAGAGGAAGAGTGTTGGACAGGTCTCTAGATTTGGCGGTCCATCGCCAGACAGCTACAACCAGCCTTGGGTCCCTGATATATGAGCACAGAACAGCTGAAGTTGTTGGAGGCAGAGAGGCTGTGAGGGTGAGGTCCGGCCAGCCTCTGTCTGGCACCCATTTCCACTTGGGGTGAGCAGGGACACCCCTTGGGGGCTTCGGGACCCTTTTAGGGTGCCACCATCAGCAACCAAGGCCTTGGTTTTCCAGAACATGGTTCTTCGATGGCAGCAGCTGTAGCTGTCTCTAACAAGGGATAGGAACAGCCCCCAGTCCCTATCCCTCCCAGTCTCCCAGACCTCAAATCCTCAGCTTGTTCTTAGTTCTGAAGCTACCTTTGCTTAAAAAGGTGCTTTCTTCACTTTGTAGTTAAGTGTTCTGATGTCCATTTGTCACTGAAGGGATCTGGGAGTCCGTGCTGGGGATGAGGGTCCATTCAATTCCACCACCACCCATTCCCGTGTTGCTGAAGATTGGGTGGGACAAAAATGGAAACAGCCTCTGCCCTCCAAGAACTTACTTTCTCCTGAAGGTTAAAGCCCCGGGGAAGGTAAACCTAGGTCTAAAAATACAAACATAAAACGAGCCCTTGCTTACACAGCTCTTACATCCTCCCTCAAGTTTGAAGGCAGGAGGGATTCAAACCCAAGCCTTTGGCCTCATACGCAAGCTTCCCCTTCCACCAAGATGGAGACTTCCATCCACAAGGCCTTCCATTGACCTTGGTGGGAAGAAAGATCACGCCAAACCTTTTAGAAGGAGGGGGAAAAAAAAAGTTTGGGAATTAAGTGGGAAGTTGACGTCAGGGCAGTGTGGGTGATGGGTGGTTGTGCGTGTTTTTTTCTTCCAAAGCATAAATAGGAGAGCATTTCAGAGAGCTGCCAAAAGCAGGTTGGCCCCCTTGGTGCAGACAGGCGTGCCTGACCTGGGGGAAGCCAGGGGTTAATCAGCAGGAGAGAGAGCTTGCTCATCCCTCATTAGAGGGAGGTACATTATGGTGTCCTGGCCACAATCCAACTTGGGTAATTACATTCTGGTGACCTAGATTCCCCTTTCAGCTTCAATTAGACTCAGGAGGCTTCTTCCCTTCCCACCCCAAAAGGAAGGGCAGCCCAGTTAAGAAACAAACAGTCCGCATTCTCCACACGGAGAGGGCTGCCTGTGCCCATCAACTCCAGAAGGGAGTGGGATAGGGGAAGTCACCCACATTCATGGAGTGCACGCCAGCATGGCCAAGGGCCTTCCCCTGAATGTCCCCCAAGACAAGGAGCGTCTGTTTGACAGATGGGGAAACTGAGGCTCCGGCTGTCCCAGAACACAGGGCTAGCACCCAAAGTGGCCCCGGGGGGGATTCGAGGCCAGGTTTCCTGCTTCCCGAGTCCATCATTAGGCAGAATGCCCCACTCAGTTTGAAATGGGAACTCAGAGAGGAGACAGCTATGATTATTCAGTTCTGCCTAGTGAACTTATGGTCTTGGGGTGGGGGGGCAGGAGGAAAGGACTAATTTTGTTGCTGGGATTCTTGCTCAGCCACGGGTCAGACTGGATGACCTATGAAATGTTTCCAGTTCTTAGAGACTGCCTTTTCTGGTCCTCTCAGCCCTTTGCACCCAGGACAGCGGGTCAGTGTGGTGGTGTAGGGGTGTGGACCATTGGTCAAGGCCCCCGTGGCCGCTTCGACCAGCCAGCTGTGAGCACAGGCTCATGCGATGGTGGGTTATGAGCTAGACGGAACCTTAGAAAGTCACCTTAATGTGCTAGGTGAGGAAAGTGGGGTGAGGCAGGGTTTGAACCCATGGGCCACGCCGTGGTGTTGCCCACCAAGAGCCCCCTCACACGGGGTGGGGGGCTCCCCTTCGCGGCCTCACCTCTCCGCCCTTGTCCCCCACAGGAAACACCATCACCATGCCAACCGCCTCCGGCGCCAAGAAGCGCTTCTGGATCATCGAGGACATGTCTCCCTTCGGCAAGCGCCGCAAGACGGCGTCATCGCGCAAGATGCTGGACGAGGGCATGATGCTGGAGGGCTTCCGGCGGTACGACCTCTACGAGGACTGCAAAGACGCGGGCTGCCAGTTCTCGCTCAAGGTCACGCACTACCACTGCACGCGGGAGAACTGCGGCTACAAGTTCTGCGGGCGCACGCACATGTACAAGCACGCGCAGCACCACGACCGCGTGGACAACCTGGTCCTGGACGACTTCAAGCGCTTCAAGGCGTCGCTGAGCTGCGGCTTCGCGGACTGCCAGTGGTCCGGCAACAGCACCCACTTCCACTGCCTGCGCTGCGGCTTCCGCTGCACGGACAGCACCAAGGTGACGGCGCACCGCAAGCACCACGGCAAGCAGGACGTGATCAGCGCCGCGGGCTTCTGCCAGTTCAGCTCGAGCGCCGACTGCGAGGTGCCCGACTGCAAGTACAAGCTCAAGTGCTCGCACTTCCACTGCACGGCCCCCGGCTGCAAGCACACCGTGGTGGGCATGTCGCAGATGGACTCCCACAAGAGGAAGCACGAGAAGCAGGAGCGGGGCGAGCTCATGCCCGCCGTCAGCCCGGGGCCCGAGGGGCTCCCGGCAGGCCCCCCGGATCACGAGGCCCCGAGGGGCGGCGGCGGAGGAGGAGGCGGCGGCGGCGGCGGCGGCGGCGGAGGCGAAGGCGAAGGCGTGGGTCTCGACAGTTCCCTCAACCTGGGCGCAGACGCCGGCGGCTCCCTCTTCTTCCTGCAGAATGCCGCCGCGGGCCTGGGCCTCAACGACTCTCTGGACCTGAGCAAGAAGCCCCCTGAGGGCCAGGGCCCCTGCCCCGCCGACCCTCCGCAGGCGGTACCCTGCGCCGCCGGGGGCCTGGACGACTCGTCCCAAGAGGAAGAGGAGGAAGAGCTGGAGGAGGCGGAGGAGGAGGACGAGGATGACGACGACGAGGACGAGGACGAGGAGGATGAGGAAGAAGAAGACGACGACGACGAGGACGACGACGACGAGGAGGATCTGAACACGGATTCCGAGGAGTCGCTCCCCGACGCCGCCCCAGGTGAAGCCCTTGGCGCCAAGGGCTCCGGGGCAGGAGAGGAGACATGTCCCCTGAACCACAGCGATGCTTCCCGGCAACCCGCGGGAGACTTGACGGCTTCTACCTCCCCGTAGCCTCCCGGACAAGGCGTGTGTCCTGTTCGTTTGTTTGCTTGTTTGTTTGAAAGTAAGACACAACAGAGACCCAGAACCCCCATAGAAGAGAGCCCTCCAGCATCTCCCGCGTGGCCACGCCAGAAACCCGACGGCTGGCGGCCCCACGCCCAGCCCAGCTGGCCCGGCTGCCGAGGAGGGGGCAGAGGCCCGAGGCAGGGCGGGTCTGCGGGGTACCTGGCTTCCAGTTTAGCGTGCAGATGAAATGGAAACTGGTGAAAGTGGGGGAGGGGAGAGCCAGAGCGTCTCATCTCCTTGGGGGCCCAGGGCAGCCCTCCGGGCCTGGGACTTTCCCCGTTTCCCACTTCCTTTGGCTGTTTGGCTAGCTGGTGTCTCCCCATGCCTTCCCTCAGCCCCGGAGGGGGTTGAGGATCTGGGTCCCTTTAACCTCCCCCCCCCCCAGGTATTTCAACAAAATGGCCTTGGCTACATGGAGTCTCCTTTTCCTCAAGCTCACTCTCCAGCACTAAACAGAAGGAAGAGGCTTCATACGTGGAGGGTTGGGGGAGGGGGTATTTATTGTTAAACAGAAAAGCATTTAATGAAAGCGTGCAGGGAGGGGCTGAGGCGCCCAGTCGGTTCTTCCAGCCCCTCTCTCCCGGATCTTTCCTCATTATGTTATTTTTTTTTTTAATTATTTTTAAGATATTTATATGTAAAGCTTCCCTCTGTACAGAGATGTCCGTTTGGATTCCTGGTGGTGGTCTGGCCACAAGAGCAGGGACAGGGACACCAGGCCACCCGGGGGAAGTGGGGAGGTCCCGGGTGTCCCCTTGGGAGCCAGCCCTCGGGTTGCTGGGACGCGGGTTTCCCCCTTCCCACCTACCGGCTCTTCCTTCTTCCACCCAGCTAGGCTCTTCTGGTGCTTTCGAATTCCCAGCACCTCTCCAGAACCGTAGGAAGGGAAAGAGGGGAAGGGGGGAGGCCTAGCCACCTCTGGAAAGGGGCCAGGAGCCTTGAGCAATACCTGCCTCGGGTGCTGGTGGCAGCCTCCCCGCTCCTCGGTCTCGAGTCTAGGCAGCCCCCGGGGCCCTGGGGGAGCCCAGCTCAGGGAGGGCAGGCTGTCACCAAAGCAAAGAGGAGGATCGCAGAAATCCCTACCCTAGCCCCAAACCCAGACAGACCCTGCAGGACCCCTTCTGCTCATCTCCACTGCTGAGGACGAGCAGAGGGGCCCCGGTGAACTTTTGGCTGGAGTTCGGGTACTTGCTTCAGGGAAACAGCTTTTGCCTATGGGTGGGAAGGAGAGACACCCCTGTCTGGAGGGCAGAACGCCCTACATGACCCAGAGCAGCTGATCCACACCCAGCCTGGGGCTCGAGTAGGTCTCAGGGTCCCTCCTGCCCGTGGCTGGAGCTCCCTCCTACCCCCTTAAACACTCCCCCCTCCCCACGGGACTATTTATTGCTCAGGACTGTGACATTTCTCTCGAGGGCTACTGTGAACCCTCCGGCTCCAGGGACCTTCCCCCTCCTCAGGGCTATATGGAGTCAGCCCTTACCAGCCCCCATCCCCAGGGGCCTTCCCCCCCACCTATCTCACTGGGCCCTCAGGAGTGGGGAGGGGAGGAGCACGGTCATGGACAGCCCCAGGTACTAAGCAGCAGTCAGGGCCTAACTTTGCAGTTAGTGATGCGTGGCATGCCAAGCGGTGACTCCCAGCACCTCCCCCTCCTCTCCCATCTCGTGCCCTGGCCCCGTTCCTGGAAGAAGGGAGGAAAGCACTCCACGGACTGGTCACTGCAGGAGACTGTCAAGGAAATCTCATGGAATCAATCGAACTGGGAAACCTTCGCTAGACTTTGCCCCACTGTGGTGGCCCCAAAGATCCCCCAAACCTAGGGGGCATTTTTCTCCCTCCCTCTTTGTTCTGAAAGGTTGGGGTGAGGAGGGGGAAAGCGCGTCTGCTTTTTCCTTTTAACTCCCAATCCCACCCTGGGAATAAACCCCAGGGGAAACTTGCAGTTTACATCTATCCTAAAAGGGGAGGACTGAATGGTGCTGATGGAGAGAAGGAAAAAAATGGGGCTGGGGGAGATGAGGGGGGGAGGGGGGCACTTCACAGCCAGCGGCTCAGGTCGTGGCAAGCAGGGCGGATGTAACTGTTGGCTTTAATATTCAGAAATGAAAAAGAAAAATTTACAAAAAAAAAAAAGTTGTACAGTATTTTTCCTGTAAAGGTTATTATTCTATGTAGAACAAAAGAGAAAAGGAAAAAAAAAACACGAGAGCTGGGGTGCTGGAGGGGAGAAATTGCTTCTGGCTTCCAGCCACTCACCTGCCTTCTGGACTAGCCCTCTTAGGTTGGGTAACCTGTGTGCAATCTCTCTGGAGGGTTTTTTGTTTAGCGTTTATGTTAGAGGCCTTAACAGTCTGAGGCTGCCTGTCTTCATACTCTAGCACTGATGGGAGCTGTGTGATTCCCACTCTTGACTTGAATTTTGTAGTGGGGGGAAAAATACTGTTAATACAAGTTTGTAGTTAATTTAACATTTTGGGGGTTTTCCCTCTTATCAGTTATACGTGTGTGGCTTCTTAAGGCTTTTTTTCCCGTTTCATCTTGTTTTGCTGGTTTGCTGGTGCACCCCTCAAATTGTCCCCATTGCACCTTCAAAGTAGTCTTGCCCCTTGCCCCTCCCCTAGCAATGAGGGGGGAAAAAAAGCCAGTCCCTGAGCTGGGGTGAACCAAGCTACAGGTAACTCCAACACCAGGCTCTCTTCCCTTCTTCAGCAAGGGGGGTAAGTGAGGACTCCTGTGCCGGTTAGGAAACGCTCTAATCAAGAGAAAAGCAGGAGCTTGGGCCCAGCCCTGGCTGTCCTCAGCTTCTCCATCCATTAGGCCTTGGCCGCCATCTTGTTTATGGTTCTGACACTGAGTTGAGTGGGAGCTAGTTTGACCACCCTTCTCAAGGCTGGTCCCCCTCCCAGGACAGTGTCACTGGACAGCCCCTCCCCCCAACTCCTTCCTTTCACACACACCCCACCCCCTCCCACACACCTCATTTGCCCCTTACAATGGTTTGGTTGTTGGGTTGTTGTTTTTTTAAGTGAAAATGGAAAAAAAACAAAACCAAGCCAGGTATAACCCATCCAACCAGCTGGTTCTATGTTTTATTTTTTGTTCCTTTGGCTGCCCACAGCCTAGAGAGACACACCCACCTGAGTGAGCTTGGAAGGGAAAAGAGTGGGGAGGAGAGGTCAGATGGAGTATTACTGATTAAATAGAAAAATAACAGAAATCAATTTAAAACAACACCTCCCCCATCCCCACCCCCACCCTCTCCTCCCCACCCAAAGGCTCCTCCTGAGCTCTGTGACCACCTCCAGCTACAGAAGACAAGCAATCAGCATCGCCCTGTCATCGTCACCGCTCTAAGCCACAAAAACTGGATTCAGTCTGTGGAAGGAATTTTGTAAAGAAAAAAAATAATAAAACATTTTTCAATGTAGCAACAAAAAAAAGGAAAAAAAAGAAGATGAGGACAGAGTGCGAAGTCTAGCCTTTTGTAATATATTGCACATTAGGACTACAAGCCATTGCTAGCTCATTTCGAATTTTAATGTGTAATTTTTGTTTTATTTTCTTTCTGTGGGGAAAAATGCTTGATCCACCAATGCTCTTTTTAATGTTTTATAACTATGTATGTGTATATATATATAAATATAAAATAATATGTATGCACATATGTGTGTATATATCTATATGTATATACATATATATAGATATATAGATATATAGAGAGGTTTTGAGACAAAAAAAAATGCAGAAAGTGAAAACTGAACAGAACAGTGTGTGCTCCGATTACTTGAATCTGGTCTCCACGGCACCTGCGTTATTAAGAACTGAATATTTTTCCACTTGAATTTAGTGCTATTAGAAATTTAATATATGTGTTTTATTTATTTGATTTTTTTTTTGCATGACTGATGCAAGGTTTGACATTTTCACTCAATAAAAACTGGAAAAAAAAAGTTCTCAGGTTGTCCCTTATTTTTTAAAATCCCTACCTTTCTTCCCCCTCCCCTATTCAAAAGAGAGTGACTGGTGACCTTGCTGTTGGGGTTATACTTGGTGTCCAGTCAGGGATCCCCTATCACTGTGGGGTGGTTGGGAGACAGAGAAGGAGGGTCTGCTTAGGAAAGCCAGCTTTTGTTAGGAGGAAAAAGATCAGTTTTAGCCAGGAAGGGATCATAATTCTAGACCCATAAGGGATCTCAGAGGTCATCTGGTCCACTCCCCTGTGAGGCCTAGGAAAGCTAAGTCACATAGGCAGAAAGTATCAGAGGCAGAATTTAAACCCAGTGCCCTTTCTACTGTACCAGACAAGGGAAACAAAGTTAAACCAAGCAAGGGGACAATTGGACGTCTAGCCTTAAGAGTAGGAGGGCTTCACCTAGAGTCTGTGGATAGATTTTGTTGTTGGGGAAAGGAGGGGAGGGATTCAGTTTTCAATTCAGTAATATTTATGAAGTGCCTACTGTGCAGCAGGTGCTGTGCTAAATAAACGATGGGGATACAAAAAGAGGCAAAAGACAGTCTGCCCTCAAGGAGCTTACAATCTAACGGGGAGAACATGCAAACAAATATATACAAAGTAAGCTATATGCAGGATAAATGGGAGATAATTAAAAGCCCTGGGATTAAGGGGTTGGTGGGGGAGAGGCTTCCTGTAGAAGGTAGGATTTTAGCTGGGATTTAAGGAAGCCAAGGAGGTCAGTAGTCGAAACATTCCTGGCATGAGGGAGAACCAGAAAAAATGCCCAGAGCTGAGGAGGGCGGGTCTTGTTCATGGCACAGTTAGGAGGCCTTCGATCACTGGATGGAAGAGTATGGGTGGAGAGCAAGAGGACTTGGGTGGGGGAAGTTACATCTCTATTTCAATATTATTGGTTTCTTTCATGATGCTACAAATTTCATTTTCCACATTTAAAACTATTTTTGTGAGAAAGGGTCCAGAGGCTTCACTGGACTGCTCCAGGGGTCCATGGCCCACACCAAGGGAAAGCATCCCTGCCGCAGTAGGCAGAGGGTGCAGGGAAAGGCCAGCCCCCGAGGGCTGTGACACTGGGTAGCCTTTTCCTGCTCCTCTCCCCTGTGCATGTCATGGAGCCCAGCAGCCAGAGTCAGCCCGGGCTCCCTTCCTGCAGAGACCTGCCCATGGGCGGGAACAGCGTGTACCCGGATCCGGATGTTGGCTGAACTCCTGTCTGGAACACAGGCTTGTATAACCGGGAGCTAAGCGGGCTCATCAGGTCGGCCCCCTGGACCCAGCCCAGGGCTGCTTGCTTCCCGGACCTTGTGGAGGTGGCTGCTGTCAGGCACCTGGACCCTGGAGGTGGCCGCAGTCAAGACTGTGCAAGGAGGGTGGTCAGAGACAGAGCCCCAGCAGGCTTCCAGACCCCAGGAAGGACTGGCTAACCAGCCACCTCATTTTACGGAGAAAGAAACTGAGGCCTGGAGGACTTGGGGGATTTTCCCAAACGCAAAGTGCAGAGATTTGAACTCCGGGCCTCTGACTCATCTTCCTTCAGGCATCTTTCCCTGGTGGTGGGGTTACCTTCTCTTCTTGATGTGTGTCTCCTGTCTAGATTCAGCTTTGAGTCTGGGAATAAAGTGCTGACTTCCAGTCTGGGTGGCTTTCAAAAAGAGATATAGCAAATCCGGCCTCAGACACTTGACACTCACCAGTTGTGTGACCTTGGGCAAGTCACTTAACCTCAATTGCCCCACCAAAAGGCAAAAAAAAACCCAGAAATTAATCAAGCTAGACAGGACCTCAGAAGCCATCTAATACACTCCTCTCCTCTCTTAACAGATGAGGAAACTGACAGCCAAGTGACTTACCCAAGGACACACAGATAGTTAAAATATCCTAGGTCCCAGGTGCTCTAACTCCAGGACTAACGTTTATATGATGCTTACTATGTGCCAGGCACTGTCCTAAGCACTTTCCAACTATTACTTCCATGCATGCCCTTCAAGATGCCCATGACCTTGGCAGCCCTCCTAATTAGGAATCAAATGAGATTCACATTTATAAAGAGATTAGCACACTCCCCAGAGCATAGTAGGCGCTTAATAAATGCTTGTTACCTGCCACCGCCATGGGCATCTGTCTTGAGCTAATCCAATCCAAGGGTCACAGCTGCCTGGCCTTTCAGGGTATCAGACACAGACAGCTTCCCCCTCACCCCCAGTGACATCTTTCATCCTCTGCTCCTGGAGTGCCTGGGCTGGCAACTTCCGAGGTCTAGGATTCTCAGACCAGCTCAGGATTCCCAAGGCTGCTGATGGAGAGACACATCCTTCCCTTTAGCATTGGGGATTAAGTTCCTCCCCTCTTCAAAGCCCCTGATGCTTTGCAATGGCTCCCAGCCGTCCTGCTTTCACACAAAAAAAGCAAAAGCGAGCTCCTAATCCCCCTCTTAGCACAGAGGGTTCCCTCCTTTCTTCTTTGGGCCTGGAATGAAGCCCACGGGCTATTTACATAAATATGTTTGTAACAGACACATTCACCCGAATATAAACACACGCATATATATGTGAATAACACACACATACTTTTTTCTGTCCCATTAAAATGTTCAGGTTGAAACTTGCCTGTTGTTTGTGGATATCTTGATTCAGTTAAATAAAACGGTGACTAATTTATGAGATAAAACACAAGTTCAACAAATTAAAACCATTACGGCAGCTTTTCAGGCTCTCCTGTGAGTGCTGGGGGTGGGGGTGGGGGTGGGGGTGGGGGCGGGGCAGAGAGCTGGCTGCTCAGCTGCCCCAGGGGTAGGGTGGGGGGCAGAGCCGGTGGTAAAATCGATGCTCTGGGAATTCTCCAGGCTGTCTGGCTACTTAATTCAGGACCCCAGCCCAAGGTGCCAAGGAGTATGCCCCAGGAACTATTTAACCAAGACAAAGTCTCCATCTAGGGTAAGGGAGCTCCCATGGTACCAAAGTCAGCTCTCACTCACATCTTTCTTGGGGATGCAGGACATGAGATGGATGTGGGGAACCAGGACAGAGCC